CTATACGATGACCTATAGTTGTTTTGTTTTTTTGTTTTTTTTTTGACGTAGAGAGTTATTTCATCTTTTTACTTAGTTATTGAAGCTCATCGAAAAACTGAGAATGTCATAGACAAGGAAGTTCAAAAGGGGTATTCCGATAAAGAAACTGAGTGTCGGAAAACTAAACAGTTCCGTCCCATCCTGATGTCCCTTCTTTGATAGAAATGGAATTTTGGGAGAAGAGGAAGACTTCGAATCGCTGGAAGTGCATCAAAAGAAAATGCACCCATCCTTATTCCCGGTAAAAATCAAAGTGCTTCTCTGATTGACCGTCACAACGACGCACAACATTAGCAAAGACATTTCACTGTAGGTACCATTTTGTCTCCCGGATAGTGGATTTCAAGCTGCAAAATGACTGGTGTCGTGTACACTTTTAAGGTTTGTCAAATGTCGATAAATTACTGGTGCGTTTAGTGCCTTTAATGAACAGAAAATGGCAGGTTGACCTGACGAAAGATTATCACTATGTTCACCATTTAGTTTTAGTTGGTAAAGATGATTATGGACCTTGTACAATAGTCACCTGACGCACAAAATAAAGCGTTGTAAATTCGAAACTATTGGCGGTCTTATTAACAAGCGTTTCATCGAGAGCAGTTCATAAAGCGGCAGTTTCATGAGATGAGGTCCTCATCGCGAAATTTAAGCACTTCGAGGTAATGCGCGGTTCGAACTTTATTGATTGTACCTATGCCCTGCAGATCAATTCTTTAAATGTCGGAAATGGCGATGTGGGAGCATTCCTTAACAAGTATGGTAAAATACGGAATTCAATACACCAGAGTCCTCTCCTATTAGTGGATCATGGGAGCTAATGATAAGTATAGATTCATCATAGTCCTGTCACCTTAATGGCTAACGAGAGCGAATGATAAGTTTAGCTACACAAGATTCCTCTCAAATCAGCGGCTCAAGGGAGCGAATGATAAGTATGGCTACACTTGAGCTTATCACAAAAGTGTCTCTTTGGAGCGAATGATAAGGATAGCTTCACCAAAGACCTCTCACATAAGTGGCCCAAGGGAGCGAACGATAAGTATAGCTACACCAGAGCTTATCACACTAGTGTATCATTGGGGCGAATGATAGGAATAGCTACACCTGAGTCCTCTCAGATTAGTTGCTCATGGGAGCGAATGCTATGTATAGCTACACAGAGTCTTCTCATATTAGTGACTCATCGGAGCGAATGATAAGTAAAGCTACACCTGAGTCCCCTCACATAAGGGGCTGATGGCATGACCAGATAGTGAGTGGTCCAAGGGAACGAATGATAACAAAGATACACCAGAGTCCTCTTACATTAGTGCTCATGGGAGCGAATGATACGTATAGCTACACCAGAGTGCTCTCATATTAGGTCCCATGGGATGACGAGTATAGCTACACATCTCACATTAATGACTCAGGGGAGCGAATGATTATAAATATAGCTAGTTCTCTCATATCAAGGGTCATTAAAGCGAATAATACGTACAGCTACACTAGAGTGCTGTCACATAAGGGGCCCATGGGATCATGAGAATAGCTACACCAGAATCCTCACACATAAGTGACGAAGGGAGCAAAAAATAATTAGTATAGCTACACTAAAGTCCTCTTATCTTAACGGCTCACGGGAGCAAAGGTAAGTATAGCTACACAAGAGTACTCTAGCATTAGTGACTCATGGGAGCGAATGATAAATATGGCTCGAAAAATATGAGTACGAAGCTTTTAGATATAAGTTAGATATAAGAACTTGACACACGAAGATCTATTGACATTTTTGGAACAGGCCTGACCAATTGTCGTAGTGTCCAGCGATGCTGACAATTCGACATTCGTATACTATCTACTTTGCTAATTCAGAATCAACTGGTTAACTAGAAAAAAAAATAGGAAACCTTTTATTTGTGCCCGTCCGATAACTGAGATCGTCAATATTATCTGGTATTGACAGAAGAAAATATTTGCTCTGTTCATTTGTAGAAAGTAAAATAACAAAAAATCGAACTCAAGAAACATTCATATCGGAAAGTCCCATATCAATTGGCAATATCAAAAGCTCAAACACATCAAAAGAATCGAAAACAACTGTCATATTCCTGACTTGGTACAGGCGTTTCCCTATGTAGCAAATGATGGATTAAAACTGGTTTTATAGCTAGCTAAACCTCTCACTTGTGTGACAGTCGCATAAAATTCCATTATATTGATAACATCAGTGAACCAAACAAGCAGACATTTTTATTTGTCTTGATAAAGACGAAATAGACATAATAGGTTAGAATGTCAAAAATAGGGGTACAGCAGTCAACATTGTGTTATAATCTTAATCACTATTAAAACAAACAAATGTGTCAACAAAGAAAAACAAAATGGCATATAGACAAAACACCTATTAAGCAAAAATATAAGACAGGAATACACAAAATGACCGCATCACAACAACACATTGGCGGGAAGCATAAGTACCGAAACACGCCTAAAGGATAGATCGAGCTTGACATGCAAGAAGGTCATAGTTATTAAGTTCAGCATATTGTATGGTTTTATTATTAAACAGTGCTTATTTTAGTATTATTAATGTTTAAAGCTATAAAGTTTAAAGTCTAATTATGACATTTTATGTTTTGTTCCTAAAGTTACATTTATAGATTTTTTAGCAGTAAGAGTTGCTAACGTTGGACAATCTTTGCGAAGCCATTGGCGTCACTTCAAAATGCGACTGTCTTACAAGTGAGAGGTTTAGCTAGCTATAAAACCAGGTTCAATCCACAAATTTCTACATCAGAAAATGACTGCACCAAGTCAGGAAACGTCGTTTGATGTGTTTGAGCTTTTGATTTTGCCATTCGATTATTGTCTTTTCGTTTTGAATTTTCCTCGGAGTTCGGTATTTTTGTTATTTTACTTTTTCAACAGATGTTGTCTATTTGTCTACTTTTAAAATTTGTTTATGGAATATACTTAAATCCAAAGCTGTTAAGTATACTATTCGATATTTATTTTATGTTTGTTATGCAATAATCTTACAATTATCCATAAAAATGTATCCACTTCACATAAAATTTATGAAGGTCAACATGGTCTATAAGTGTCAAATCTAGAAATTCATAAGAAATTACATGTGTTTAACAACTGTAATTGCTTATGAATTTCTAGAATTACGGCATACGAGTTCCATGATTTTGTTATATTTCTCCTTTATAGCTTTTTACGTTACAATTTGTCAACAACTATAATTAAATAAATGCAACAGTAGTATACCGCTGTTCAAAAGTCATAAATCGATAGAGAGAAAACAAATTCAACTATAAGAGGAACACTGTAGTGCAACAAAAACAAACGCCAACATACATAGAAACGAACTATTTGATAACAACTGCCATATTCCTGACTTAGTACAGGATATTTTAAGAAAACAACGGTGGGTTGAACCTGGATTTATGGCTAGCCAAACCTCCCGCATATACGGCAATGTTAAAACATATCGCTAAAATGACAACACTACGTGACAGAAATACAGCACAAACACACGCAAGAACACTCATCACAGAAAAACGCACAAACAAAAAACATAACAGTCGACACAACATGCAAACCGCACTACAACAAAGAACATCTTCCATTAACGACAGACAGCACAAGACATCACAAACAGTAATGCACTTATGTAACGAACATGTTATCTTGAACTTCATGCGATTATTTTCACAATATCAGTCCAAACAATTATCATGACAATGACGGTATTGAAAGGCTATTTTATAATTATTTGGATTACAAAGGATTATACATAACTCATTATCCAACCAAAACCACAACAGAAACATCAAAAATAATTTTGAATCTCCTGGTGGGTTGAACTTGTTTTATTAGTCATTTCGTACACTAACTATTTCGTACCCCCCATTTCGTACCCTGGCAAAAAACACCCTGACCATTTCGTACCTTGACCATTTCGTACCTTATGGAATATTAACATGTATACCATTTCGTACCTCATGGAAGATTTTTATGTATACCATTTCGTACCTCATGGAAGATTTGTATGTATACCATTTCGTACCTCATGGAAGATTTATATGTATGCCATTTCGTACTTCATGAAAGATTTATATGTTTTTCATTTCTTGGTAAACACTGTTTCATTGATGTGCGCCATTTCGTATCTTATGGAAGATTTATATGTATGCCATTTCGTAACTTATGGAAGATTTGTATGCATACCATTTCGTACTTCATGGAAGGTTTGTATGAATACCATTTCGTAACTCTTCTGTTGTCTGTAATTTCTCAAATTGAAAAAGCCATAGCAAGTTCTTTGATTGGTCATATAAGGTGCACATTCTTATGCAAACACTTTTATCCATGGCTTCCTGTTTGAGTAAAAATCAGCTTGTGTCACTTTTCACTGCACATTTCCTGACAAAAACAACTGTTAATAACTATAAAAACAGTTGCAGATACTTATTTCTTTGTTGGTTAATTAACGTCATATTTTTTATAGTTGAAACATTAATTAAGAACAAATCCTGCAAACAAACAAGTTGTAATTAAAACTATCAAAGTTTCCAAGTGCTGCTTAATCATACCAACCATCGGCCTTTATAAAATTTCTACGGCTGGATGCATAATTTTATTTATTTTGTATTAAAAAAAAATTAAAATCATGAGAACTTTTACAAATATATGATACGAAATAGTAAACATGTATTTAGTCTATGAGGTACGAAATGGTAGATTCATTTGTCCCATAGGGTACGAAATGGATTTTATCGTGGGTACGAAATTGTAAATGTTAGGTACGAAATGGCAGAGGTACGAAATGGTCAAGGTACGAAATGACTTACTTCCTGCATATTATCCTATCTTTTTGTGTCTGTTTCGTATTTTTTAAATATGGCCGAAAATTACTTTTTTTTATGACTGCGCAATGTTTTATGAACTAAAATAGTTGCATAGTACACAGGTAAAATAGCTACGGACGTATTACGTCCGTAAAAAATCCGTAATACGTCCGTATTATACGGAAAACCTACGGACGAATAGTACCACGGACGTAAAACGTCCGTTGCTTCCCATCCATAATACGTCCGTATCAAACCGTAAAACATCCGTTAAACGTCCGTAATACGGATTTATAATGCTACGTCCGTAATACGGATGTTTAGTACCACGTCCGTAATACGGATTTTTTGTACCACAGACGTATAACGTCTATTAATATTATGCATATTATTATATAGAGATATTTTGAAAAAAAATACCTTTATGGTTTGATTTTTATGTAACAGTTATATTGCTGAAACTTTTGATGGAACTGTCAATGACAAAATGCTATACTTTATTTTAAGGTGATGATACTTTTTATCTGCATTTCCTTATATAGTCTCCTAGTGTTCTATCTAAAATTTGTTTCTGATGCAATACATTCAAGGTTTTTGGCATAGAATTTTCTGTCATACAGTGACTTGTTGTTTAACAAGTTGAATATTGATGATAACTCTGATTTAAAATCTTTTTAAACATTCTACTTGAATATTCAAGAGTAAATCAACAATAATCATAAGTATTTCAGTGCTTGTCTTTGGTTCATATTTTGCTTTCATATATTAACTTGTTAAAATAAGGCTCTTAGTTTTCTCTATTTGTCATATCCAAACCTTTTCATAGCACACTATATAGTTGGGTTTTTTTCATTGTTGGAGGACATATGGTGACCTATAATTGCTCACTATCACATCATTTGAACTCTGGTGGATATTTTTCTCATTGGCAATTCAACCAAATTTCTTTACTTTTATATGATCTTTTAATTATATATCAAGAGTAATTGATCTCAAGAGTAATTGTGAATATTGTATTGTTTCCTTTTTACAGTTTTGAATGTATCTGTTTTCTTAAAACTTTCTTAGAACAAACATAATCTTCAATCTTCTTCAAAGTTCAAAATTTTATTTCCAAGGATTTTTATTCACATTCTAATTTCTTTACTTTCAAAGTCCATGAATGTCAAAATAAATGTCTTCTTTGTAAATTTAAATGTTGTATTTTTTGTAAAATTCCCATATTTGTGAGGTAGTCTTCTATGTCCTGTATTCATGGTATTGGTTATTCTTCACCATGTTCACTGTGAATGGTAACTGAAATAAAATATTCATAAATAATATAAATTTAACTTCCATGAAGTAATGTTATAATAATTAATAGTCTAATACACTTAAGAGGTCCCAAACCGCCTACAAAGTATATGCCTATGACATATTGTGAGTTTTAGCATGTTAAAATAAATTGCTTTGCCGAGTGCAGCTGGATAGGACCGCAGAGGTCCAACCCTGAACAGTTGGGGCAAAAATGGACACAATATTCGCACTTGATACAGGTCTGAATTTGGATTGTTATTAAATATTTGACAAATAATAGGTTTCTGACACAGAATAAATGTAGTCAAAGAACTAGAATTGGTTATATGATTTGAATTTATATTCATTTTTTTGCTTTTGTGCAGTACACTATGCTGTTGCGAATTGACACCCCTCCCCAAATAATATTTGAAGAAATTTTTTTTTTTAAATTCGGACGATGATGTGATTTTTGGCGGTTGTATAAAAACTGCTGTCATGTCCATGTTTATTGTACTTTTTGTTGTAAGGTTGCTGTCAAACTAATGTAAGCCTTTCCTTTTTTCTTTCCATTTATGAAATCTTAAAACAAAGTTGTGTGTGTACTCATATATCAATGTGCAGAAACAGTATCAATAGATTAATCAAACAATGAAGGAATTTTGATCAAACTACCATAGCCGTAACTTGGAAGAGCCTCTATTAAATACAAGCTGTAGGTTGAACCAGTATTTACAAAATTGTCAAAGCATGTTAAGCGTACAACTCATAGCTATATAGGTAACCAGTACCTCAACAAGACTTAAGAGTGCACATGCTGACCATTTATTTTATGTTGAAATTCTTTAAGATAAAGGTAAAATTACTAAAAGTATCACAAAATCTTAACACTTTACAGATCTTTGACCATGAGGTGAAGGTCGGATAAATCCTATCAGACAGACATCTACACCAAACGATTTTTTTATACACCAAATATAGTTGACCTATTATTTAAGCTTGTAGTACTTGAAAATCAGCAAAAATACAAAAACTTAACATTGATAAATGAAATGAGGTCATACCCAAGATCAGATGAAACCTGCCAGACTGACTTGCCAGACTGATATACATTTACAGTTGACCTACTGCTTATAGGATTTGAGAAATGGACCTTGTCACTGATCAAAAAATGAAGAAGAAGTCAGGTGAACCCTTCTAACAGACATGTAGATGTTGCAAGGAACCCATATACCAAATATAGTTATAATATCCTATAACTCATACATGTCATAAGTGAGAAATTCACATGACAAAAGAACTATATATTTTTTTCAAGCAGTTATTGAACCATGAAAATGAGGTCGAGGACAATGGACATATGACAGACAGAATCTTTGTAACATAAGCCTCTGCAAACAAGATATGAAGTCCAGGGGTTGAAGTCATAAAACTTTGCTCAGTGCTCTGAGCACAAAAATTATGCTCGAAACATGAAATCAAACATTTTGATTGGTTGATTTTGGAGTATGAGAACAAAAATCTGACTCAAAAGTTTTATGACTTCAAGGCCAGGTCTTCTACCTTCTGAAATATAAAGCTTTATACAAATCGTTGACAATGCCACCAAGAATAGAAATACTTATGGCTATGTTTTGACAAAAAAACATTCTGATCAAAAAACAAAATTGAAAGTGTGAAATAGCATTATATTATATAAATAATAATGTCCTTTGGTCTTTTAAATGACACATTGAGGATCATACCTCATCTTTTTATATTTATATGCTGGTTGAGCCTGGTTCATTGAAAAAGCTCCAAGGTTTATCCATGTACATAATCTGATTGCTATATGTTTGCAAATTCATTCTGATAATGCAAAATCATTAATTGGTTGATTTTTCTTGCTTATTTTAATGTCCAGTGGCAAATATTTTATGTATTCTAAATGATAACAACTTATCAATACATAATATAGGCCAGTCTGACTAGGTACACAGCTACTTTAGTACAAGTAATCTTGATGTACAGTTCTCAAGATGCATATCGAATGTACATCTGTAAAGCTGTATATTAACTGTACAGCTATAAAGTTTCATTTAATTTGGACCATTTTTCGGTTTTTCACATTTTTGCCATTTCCATGGTAACGGCAGCCATCTTGAAAATTCCAAACCCAAAGTGCACATCTGCACATGGGGATTGTCATTATGGAGCAGTTTTATCAATGTATGTCAAGTCATCTCCGAGAACTAAGCTGGACAAAAAGTGTGGAAGAATAATTCGTAGAATAAGAATATGTCCCCCCTTTTATCAAAGGGGTGACATAATAATACGCAAAAGTCGATTGTTCAAAAGCGAATTAAAGGTATTTTCTTTCATAAATTGATCGGAAAAGATATGTGGATTGGTTGATTGATGGTTTGTGATCATGATTGATCAATCAATCGATTGATTGATCGATCGTTTGATTGATTGATTGATCGACTGATTGACAGTTTGTAAAAGGTGAGGGGACGTTTTTTTTCAAATTCTGCACTTGATTAATTACTTGTTTGATATCAAAACTTGATTGATTGATCTCCCATCATGATTTGATCACTTTAATCATGAATTGATTGATTGATCAATACTTTGTATAGCCTAAAATGACACATTTTGCATTGGTTTATTCCTTGTCTATACGTTTTGTGCTGTTCAGTGTCAAATATCTAACGCACAATTTTACACGTAAGATTGAGAAATATACTCTATTTCCTCTTCTTACACCAGAAAAAATGAATGGCGATTAAGGTTTTTCTAACACTAGCGGAGGATGTCACCCCGTACTGGACATTGTCAAGGTAGTAGCAATCATTTTGAGTGTACCAAAGTCAAATGGCACATCTATTATACATGCCTTTGATTCTGATTCCCCCCCCCCCTTTTTCTCTTCTCGTAGAATAAGATTGATGTCTATATCACAGCTACTTTAATCTTGATGTACAGTTCTCAAGATGCATATCGAATGTACATCCGTAAAGCTGTATATTAACTGTACAGCTATAAAGCTGTATATAAACGCACCCAGAGGCGTCCTTCAGCTGGCCCCTAAACAAATATATATACTAGTTCAGTGATAATGAAATGTACAGTTATACTTGAAACAGTTTTAGGAAGATAACATCAAATTATTTAAATTAACTGCAATTCTACAGATGAACTTACTTTGATATCAGTTCTTTTTTGCAGGACATTCACACCTACATGACATACATGTTCACCAGTGATATCAATCATTGTCAATACTGTACTTTCCTTTCATTTGGTAACAAGCTAAAATTGTATATATAAATAATTTAATCAAGAAGTCCAGACAAAAACTACATGTAGTATGAATTGATGCTCACTAATTTATACCTTTACTATATACTTTTACTTTTGAGTGAATTGAAACAAAATGTAAGCAAACAACAGAAAGAAGATCAACAGTTAAGCTTATAAAAAATTAATATAAATATATGTGCAGATTTTAATAAAAGAAAAACCTTTCAATGTACCTTGGCAATGGATAAATTTTCTGTCAAAAATTCGTAAGGGTTCCGCTGAACCCAGTGTCTCCGTACTTTTGCTGTTAATCACAGGCTCAACAAAAATGAGAAAAAAAATTAATAAAAATATTCCTCTCTATACTATCTTTTGAATGTAAGTAGCTTCTGTCCAAGTTTGGTAAAAATCCATGATAATTCATGAATCTAATAAATGTTTTAAAAACTTAAACTGCAGACTGTATGTAATGTTGACTGGAAGAAAAACTAAGTCCATTTATAAGTAAAATAGGGAAAAAATGGAACAAAATTTTATCAAAATTTCCTTCTAGATACTAGCATTTGATCATAAACAAGCTTCTGTCCAAGTGTGGTACAAATCCAGGATAGTTTAAAAACTTTAACCACAGAGTGAATGTAATGTTAACTGGCAGAAAAACTAAGTCCATTTATAAGTAAAATACGGAAAAAATGGAATTTTTTTTTACGAAATTTACTTCTGGATACTATCTTATGATCATAAACAAGCTTCTTTCCAAGTTTGGTAGAAATCCAGGATAGTTTAAGAAAGTTATTAAAATTTGAAAAACTTTAACCACAGAGTGAATGTAATGTTTCCTGGCAGAAAAACTAAGTCCACTTATAAGTAAAATACGGAAAAAATGGATTTTTTTTTTTACAAAATTTACTTTTGAATATAATCTTATGATCATATACAAGCTTCTGTCCAAGTTTGGTAGAAATCCAGGATAGTTTAAGAAAGTTATTAAAATTTCAAAAACTTTAACCACAGAGTGAATATTTGTGGACACCGCCGACAACGACGACGTCGACGGAATGTAGGATCACTATGTCTCGCTTTTTCGACAAAAGTCGAAGGCTCGACAAAAAGCAAAATAAACTTCAATAAACGGTTTCCCAAGCAAAGCTGGAAACGAACCCTGAACAGTTGGGGTAAAAATGAACACAATATTTAAGTTTGATATAGGTCTGAATTTGGATTGTAATCAAATATTAGACACATTATAGGGGGGAAATTTCTGGATCCGCCACTGGGTATTGAACCTTTAGATTAAAGAGATCCATACACTTAAACTAAAGTTTTTTGTCCAGAAACCAAATGTCTTTAAAGGACAACAATGTGATAGCAGTATACTGTGTAGCAGTATACGACCCCATATTGTGGTTGTATAAAAAAATTGTTTGTTCTTTTAAACTTTTTCATAATTCATCTACAAGAAATGTAGGCCTGTTTGGGATTGCTTGCAATGCAATTTTCCTTATAAATTCAACCTTATATAGTAATGCCGGATTTTGATTGGTTGGTAACCAGAGTATTTTTCGTACATTCTAATCCTTTTTACTCTATTTCTGTACTAAAAATCTTTAGTACCGGACATTTACTTTTAATATTTAGTACTACTTCTTTACTTAAAACTTATTGTAATATTTAGGTACGGTACCAGTATTTTACAGTACTTGTTTTGTACTAAAAATTTTGGTACAGAAATAATACCCACAGTGATCATAATATTCCATGTTTGAAAATCATAACTTTAAGAGATTTAAAATAGACAAACTATCAAAATGCTGAAAATGTAACGGTGTAAAAACATGAATAAATTAAAGAACCTTAGTGAGCGCGCTCACATACCCCATGTCCCCACATTGTCATTGGAGAAATAAAATAAGTGTAAGAAAAAAATTGTATCAGAAAAAAAAATTTAATCATAATTTCCTGTCAATATACACATCTACATAGTATGTCCTTATTATCTACACAGTTTCATGAAATTCTGTTGTGTGGTTTGAATGGAGTTGCGATGACAAAAGGTTGCAGTAGTATATTGGGCAAATAAGTTCAAAGGGGCGTAACTCCTGGAAAAAAAATTGAATCGTAATTTCCTGTCAATATGCACATCTACGTAGTATGTCCTTATTATCTGAAAAGGTTTCATGAAATTCTGTTGTGTGGTTTGAGAGAAGTTGCGATGACAAAAGGTTGCAGAAGTATATTGGGCAAATAAGTTCAAAGGGGCGTAACTCCTGGAAAAAATATTGAATCGTAATTTCCTGTCGATATGCACATCTACGTAGTATGTCCTTATTATCTGAAAAGGTTTCATGAAATTCTGTTGTGTGGTTTGAGAGGAGTTGCGATGACAAAAAGTTGCAGTAGTATATTGGGCAAATAAGTTCAAAGGGGCGTAACTCCTGGAAAAAAAATTGAATCGTAATTTCCTGTCGATATGCACATCTACGTAGTACGTCCTTATTATCTGAAAAGGTTTCATGAAATTCTGTTGTGTAGTTTGAGAGGAGTTGCGATGACAAACTGTTGCAGTAGTACATTAAAGTAAATAAGTTCAAAGGGGCGTAACTCCTAGAAAAAGAATTGAATCGTAATTTCCTGTTGATATGCACAACTAAATAGTATGTCCTTATTATCTAAAAAGGTTTCGTGAAATTCTGTTGTGTGGTTTGAGAGGAGTTGCAATGACAAGAAACAGGACTGACGGACTGACGGGTCAAAAACATTCGTTGCGTGGGGTATAAAAACTGTAGTACTTAAATTTCAAGTACAAATCAAGTACTGTAAAATACAGGAACTTAATATCATGATAATTTTAAAGTAACAAAATGGTACTAAATATTAAAAGTAGATTTCCAGTACTGCATAATTTTGGTACAGAAATAGTAGCTATGCAAAAGTAGCTGTGTTACCAATGTCAAGTTCTTTGACTACATTTATTCAGAAAACTATAATGTGTCAAATATTTATTTACAATCCAAATTCAGACCTGTATCAAGGAATCAGAAACTTGTCAACATTTAAGTTAAGTAAAATGTACTAAGGAGTATTATTACTACAACTGCACAATATTAATGACTTTACCATAAGTTATTTCTTGGTTTCCTTAAACTGACCTCATCACGAATATCAACAAATTGTTTACGGTTTTGTAAAAAAAATAATTTGTCACTTCTAACATGTATAATTTTCGACTTGCCCACAACAAGAATCAAAACTTTGACCTCTATGACCTCAAACTTTAAAAAAATCTTGGAAACTACATGTACATGATGTACCGAGTCTGACAAGAAAAAAATATTCAAATAAAGTCATCCTTTTAATAACATACCTCTCATCACAAAATTATTCATTGACTACTGCTCCTCTGTGCTCATATGCACATAAATCAATATGACAATCTATGAATCCACTATATAATCTAGACATCAATGACCCAAATGAATTCTGTTCTGTTGCTTAGCTTCTCCTACTTCTCAAAGTACTTGTACTTTCATTGAAAATGCTAAAAGAAATAATGGTTAATGAAATGAAGTTATAATATCTGCCAAAATTGCCTTTAATATTTGATCCGGCAAAATTGGCTTAGTTTGATCTTTTAAAACTAGACCAACTACCTTTCCCTGAAAAAATAGAGGCTTCCAAGAGCCTCAGTCACTCACCAGTATCCACTGTGGTTTTGGAAATCATGTAAAATAACGTTTAAATCATAATAAATAGTATTAGATACCCCAATAATGATTGTGGCCAAGTTTGGTTAAATTTGGCCGAGCAGTTTTAGAGAAGATTTTAGTAAAAGATTACAAAAATTTATGAAAAATGGTTAATAAAATTGACTATAAAGGGCAATAACTCCTTAAAAGGTCAATTGACAATTTTGGTCCTGTCGACTTATTTGTAGATCTTACTTTGCTGAACATTATTTCTGTTTACAGTTTATCTCTATCTCTAATAATACTCAAGATAATTACCAAAAACTGCAAAATTTCCCTAAAATTATCAATTCAGGGGCAGCAACCCAACAACAGGTTGTCTGATTCTTCTAAAAATGTTGTAGCTATAAAGTCTTGTAACTACGCAAGACATGTGGACGCCAGAGAGACAGACGGCTGGAAGCCGGACATTTGTATACCATAATATGTCCCGTAAAAATTTTGACAGGCGTATAAAAATGACTATAAAAAATCAAAGTATTTAATCATTTTAATGTTCTAATGATCTAATCCATCATATAAAATCCATATGACCCTTGAATGAAGGGATGTACAAAAGCGGTTATATACATGTACATGTATAATTGGATCTCTGAATCTGTCATGATTTATAATGCCAATCTTTGGGCATCAACTTACCATCAAGTTATTTTAATAATCATGATACTTTTTAAAATTTGAAGTCATTCAAAAATGTTTAAATTATACCAAAAGTTGAACTAGTATTTGATATAAGGTAATATCTGAGAAATGGACTAAACGAGACAAGGTTTGGTGGTAAATGCATGTACCTTGAAAGTTGTTATTGGCTTTGAACTAGCTGTTAGCAATTGGGAGTACTCTCAGATCTATACTTAGTCTTTTTAGTTTTGGGGATGTATAAATCTGCTTTAAAAGCCCTTTTCACACCAATATCTCAGCTAAGGTGGTTGGTTTAGCACCACAAACTACTAGTCTAGCCCCACCACAACCTTTTGAATGCGTCTGTCTCATGTCAGAAGCCTGTTAGTGTTATTCAGTGGTTCAGTTTGTCGTTTGTTGCTGTTTATAATATTTTGTATTTTTGGTTCTGTTTTTTATATATTACATTGTATAAATTAGTCTGTTAGTTTTCTGGTTTGAATTATTTTACAAATTTGTGATTCTCATATAGGGTCTTTAAAACCTGACTATGCGGTATTGGCTTTGCTCATTGTTGAAGGATGTACAGTGACCTATTGTTGTTAACTTCAATGTCATTTGATTTCTGGTGGAGAGTTGTCTTTTCTCATTGGTGTAAACAATATTTTATTTTGAAAATAATTACGTAATTTAAACATTATTATCATTACAATATGACAGATTTATTAGGATTGAAAAACAAGTGAATTTACACTTTTAAAAATTCCTCTATTTTTTCTCATTGGCAATCACCACATTTTCTTATTTTTATATTTACATTACATACATGTAAAGCAGACCTTTCATCTTCTCGAGGAGTCCACTTCCTATGTACAACCAGGGGGCCCAAACAGCATCATCATGCATGATTTTGAGTCAGCTAAAAAAAGAATCAAATAGATTATGATACAATAAATATATACATAAATTACATAATAATTTAATAATAAATAATGAATCTACAATCATATTTTAAGAAATGGCGATTAAGGTTTTTCTAACACTAGCGGAGGATGTCACCCCGTACTGGACATTGTCAAGGTAGTAGCAATCATTTTGAGTGTACCAAAGTCAAATGGCACATCTATTATACATGCCTTTGATTCTGATTCCCCCCCCCCTTTTTCTCTTCTCGTAGAATAAGATTGATGTCTATATCACAGCTACTTTAGTACAAGTAATCTTGATGTACAGTTCTCAAGATGCATATCGAATGTACATCCGTAAAGCTGTATATTAACTGTACAGCTATAAAGCTGTATATAAACGCACCCAGAGGCGTCCTTCAGCTGGCCCCTAAACAAATATATATACTAGTTCAGTGATAATGAAATGTACAGTTATACTTGAAACAGTTTTAGGAAGATAACATCAAATTATTTAAATTAACTGCAATTCTACAGATGAACTTACTTTGATATCAGTTCTTTTTTGCAGGACATTCACACCTACATGACATACATGTTCACCAGTGATATCAATCATTGTCAATACTGTACTTTCCTTTCATTTGGTAACAAGCTAAAATTGTATATATAAATAATTTAATCAAGAAGTCCAGACAAAAACTACATGTAGTATGAATTGATGCTCACTAATTTATACCTTTACTATATACTTTTACTTTTGAGTGAATTGAAACAAAATGTAAGCAAACAACAGAAAGAAGATCAACAGTTAAGCTTATAAAAAATTAATATAAATATATGTGCAGATTTTAATAAAAGAAAAACCTTTCAATGTACCTTGGCAATGGATAAATTTTCTGTCAAAAATTCGTAAGGGTTCCGCGGAACCCAGTGTCTCCGTACTTTTGCTGTTAATCACAGGCTCAACAAAAATGAGAAAAAAAATTAATAAAAATATTCCTCTCTATACTATCTTTTGAATGTAAGTAGCTTCTGTCCAAGTTTGGTAAAAATCCATGATAATTCATGAATCTAATAAATGTTTTAAAAACTTAAACTGCAGACTGTATGTAATGTTGACTGGAAGAAAAACTAAGTCCATTTATAAGTAAAATAGGGAAAAAATGGAACAAAATTTTATCAAAATTTCCTTCTAGATACTAGCATTTGATCATAAACAAGCTTCTGTCCAAGTGTGGTACAAATCCAGGATAGTTTAAAAACTTTAACCACAGAGTGAATGTAATGTTAACTGGCAGAAAAACTAAGTCCATTTATAAGTAAAATACGGAAAAAATGGAATTTTTTTTTACGAAATTTACTTCTGGATACTATCTTATGATCATAAACAAGCTTCTTTCCAAGTTTGGTAGAAATCCAGGATAGTTTAAGAAAGTTATTAAAATTTATAACATCATTTTAAATCAATAAATATCATATATTAAATTTCGATTTTTTTGTATCAGTGTCTTCTAATTTCTGGGTAGATAAGTAAATACCAGCGAGTTGGCAGACCTTTATTTTTTTTATATTCTATATTCATTTTGATTTTACCCAAGTTAGGCGAGTTGCCATTGTTGACAGGAGTATATTTTACGGATTTAACCCTTTTCATAAGTGGGGCAATTGAAGAAACCAGGTATGCGGTAATTTTAATTCAGCCTTGTACAATATATATATACATCCAGTCATTTTTACTCAAGCATTACAAATAAGGTTAAATGCTAGATTTCTATATTCTTTTAACTATATTCATGGCAATTAATTAGCCATCCATCATTAGTTGTTTGTGGGAAAGACACCAAGTACTCTTTGTATAATTCAACTTAATATTGTGAGGACAAGCTTTTAAAAATGAAATCTTTTAAAAAATATAAAGATTTTTTTTCAATTACATTTATTTCTTAATTAGGCCAAATGAAATAATATGTGTGTTTCCTATTACATCTTTGAAAAAATAGGATAAGTAGGGGATTTTTCTTATTTTACAATTTTTTTTTATATTTAGTCTATGGGCTGATGGGAGAGAAATTCTGACTTTAACAGTGCTTATTGATAAATCAAAAAAACTTTAGGGTAGGCTATTTCTAAGCTTAAAATATAGGGTAGTTGCGGAAGTAAGAAACACACATATTTTTTTATTTGACCTTACATACAGGAAAAAGATATTTTTTTTAATTAACATTGTTTTAATTTTATATAATTTCACTCACAAGTTGACTCCTTTTCTAGATTTTTTTTGGAAGATATGTTTTAAAATGGTTGATGGAAAAGTACAACCATATCTTAAATTAAATAAATGGATGTTCATGATGAACATCAAGAAGCAATGAAAAAATTCAGTGTTTAGAGACTCACTATCTTTTATATTATATGAAAGAATGAGAAAACTGTTGAATCATCGTGACTGTTGTTAAGAAGCTTTCCATTTAATTTTGTTAATTACTACCTGGGAACAGTCTTGACAGTATATCAATATATATGTTCCTGTTACTATACACTTTTCATTAAATTGCTATATTTAACCCTTTCCTCTATAATGATGCCTCTGTGTTGTAGTGCATCAATTGAAACGTTTTCATGTACAGTTAACATTGCATTAAAGTACAAGTATTTCCTGCATTTCATTGAAAAATCCTATGCAAATGAAGTATATAAAAAAAAAATGCTCTGGAGAAAAGGATTATAAATCAGGCATTGACATTGTCAGTTAATTATTTTAATATTTCATACTTTTAATTAAATCATGTGGTCTTTTCGGAAAAAAATCACTTCATATGTACTCATATTATGCAAATATTAAAAGTTATAGGCTTGAAGCAGAGATTCACTATACACATGTATGTCTGGCATGCAGAATGTTGAAAGCAAGTTAAGAATTTTACTTTATGCATGTATTAGCCATCGTGCATATATCATGCACGGTACTTTTACATCTTTGAATAAGATATAGCCGTAATACGGAAGTTGCAGAAACGTCCGTAATACGTATGTTTAAGAAACGTCCGTGAAACGGAAAATCCGTTTTACATCAGTTTTTACACGTACGTTTTACGGATGTATTTTTACAGACGTTTTACGGACGTAACCGTATCATCCGTAATACATCCGTATTACGGATGTTTTACGGACGTTTATTACCACATCCGTGAAACGTCCGTAGCTATTTTACCTGTGTAAGTTGTTTTATGTAATGTATCCGTTTTTATTCTGTAGTTAGTCCCCACTTCAGTTTTATCATGTATATCTATTATATAGTCATTTTATAAAATTTACTCTTTGCAAAAGTATATATTATTCTAAATAATAAGGATGTTCTTGTCCCAGGCAGAAAACCCTGGCCGTGTTAGGCACAACTTTTTGGAAGTTTTCGTCCTCGGTGCTCTTCAGCTTTGTACTTGTTTTGGCTTTTAAACTTTTTTCATCTGAGCGTCACTGGTAAGTCTTGTGTGGACGAGACGCACGTCTGGCGTATTAAATTCTAAACCTAGTACTTTTTGTTAGCTATTATTCGTGTGTTTCTTTGTCCTATATGTTCTCCCATTTATATGTATTGTAGTCATGTCATGTAATGTTGTCATTTTAATGTTATATTTAACATTGCCATAAAAGCGGGAGGTTTTGCATGCCACAAAACCAGGTTCAACCCACCATTTTTTTCTAAAAAATGTCCTGTACCATGTCATGAAAATGGCCATTGTTATATTATAGTTCTTTTTTGTGTGTGTTACATTTTAATGTTGTGTTTTTGTTGTGTCGTTGTTCTCCTCTCATATTTGATGCGTTTCCCTCAGTTTTAGTTTGTAACCCGGATTTGTTTTTATCTCTATCGATTTATGAGTTTCGAACAGCGGTATACTACTGTTGCCTTTATAGTAAACCAACGACAGTTAATCAGAAAATTCTTATACTGAGAAATATTATACGAAATACGAAATACGAAATATTTTATTAAAGAAAGCTCAATTATGAACATAAGTCAATAATAGCATAGATACAACAAAGAATAACATTTAAACAATCTCACTAAAATTAATACTAAATATTTGGTGGTAGACCAGTGTTATTGTAAAAAATAATATTCTCATATACTCCATACCATATATGAACTTTTATTGTAGTAAGAATTACGTATACCATGTTTTTATATGAACTGATCGTCTTAAAGATTGTTCTTTTATACGTTAAATTCCGGCTTCAATGTATTAGTAATTCATTTAGGGTTAATGCTACAATTGCATTACTATTGCTTTAAATTTTTAGAGCTACTCACATTACTTATGTGTTATCTTATGGTTTCTAGTTAGGTGTTGGCTTTACCTTTGGTTCTGTTTAGTTTTATTAGCTGTTCAAACAGTGTTGTAAAATAGGGGGCAAAATATACAAACGGAACATTTACAACTCACAGTTAGTCGAAAAAATTAACAAAGGCATGGAAAAATCGAAAAAGACTTAAAAAAACGAAGAAGTCCTTTAAACAATATAATCGTAAAAAACTAAAGACGAATCAAATAGAATCCCACAAAAAACAGGTATGCATTCAGGTGCTCCGGAAGGGTAATCGATTATAGATCCACACGTGACACGCTAATCCGGCTTTTAGTCTTATACGGGGATGTCAGATTCGGGAACGAGAGGACGAAAATGTGGTTAGGACAATAGCAAAATACCAATGGTTATGTTTTTACAAATATTTCGACAATAAGCACCGTTGATGAAACATTAATAGTCGAAATGCCTATAACATGATTTAAACTGGCACCATTAATGTAATAACAAACACACATATTCTTTTACACTTCCAACATCCGGACTCTTTGAGAAATGAATTGTGTGGCTATATACCTACCTCAATATTTTCAACGAATGATTTTTAATTTGTCAATTTGTTCGCTTTAAATAATTTGGATTAATTATAAGGTCTTTCCACTTTTCTGTGAAAGACCTATTGTATTTGTTCCGATTATTATTATTAGGTCTTTCCACTTTTCCATGATTATTATTAGGTCTTTCCACTTTTCGGTGGAAAGACCTTTTGGATTT